TAATTACTGAGGTGGAGAAGCGGGACGGGGGTGGGCCTCGGAGTCCCGAGTGGACACCTTAGGTCTCCTGTTAGACGTCCGGGTGGAGTCTGGACAGACAGAAATGAGGGAGTCTCGGCCCGAGGGTGAAGCTGGACGGGACCACCCAGGGAGGCGGGGGTGGAAGAAGAGGGAACAAGGGCGGAACGCACTGAGCCCTCCAGTCAGTTTGAGGAGGGAAGAGCAGAGAGGACCCCTCCTCGGGGGCGTCCCCAGGGCCCGGGGTGGCAGCTAGGAGGCTGCCAGGGCTGGCTTTTAGAGGCCAGCTCTCAGAGTGTCTTTGTGCTAATGGCTTGAACCAGTATTTTTCTTTTCTTTTTTTATGAGCCTGTATTTGTTTTGAACCCATTTTTCCCTCTGACTTGTGTTGCCTGCCGGAGTGAAAAGTCCTGGAAGTTTTGTTAACCTACATGTGCGTCTCGTTTCGATGTGAGCCTTCTCTCCGAAACCCGCTGCACCTTTTCCATCATTGGTATGACCGCCCCCACCTCGGGCACAGAGAGGCCAGGCAGGGTGGCTGTGGACACACAGCTGCTTCGTGGCAGCACCAGGATTTGAACATGGGCAGCTTGGCTCTCTCGTTGTGTTTCGAAAGCAGGACGCTGAACAAATCGCCTCACTCGCCTTTCCACCTGAGAAGTCTCCCATTTTTCTAAGTCCAGCTTCAGGGAGAAGCCACCGTTTCTGGTTTTACGGTGGGTGGGTGTCAGCTTTAGAGCCACAGCTGGACTCGAATGCTGCCTGTTTGTCCCATGGCCTCAGGCAACGGGCTTCATCTCTTTCCATCCCCTGTGTCCAGAGTTGCTCAGATCACATGAGGATCATTCATCTGTCCGTCTCTTCCTGGACACTTCCTGGCCCTGGGACAGCCACGGGGCCAGGGGCAGAATGAGTCTTCTGTCCAGCCCTCATGGCACCGGGACACACACAGTTAATTATTTGTGCCAAAGTGCTGGGAAGTTAGGGGAGCAAAGAGACCACGAAAGGAAAGGCTGCTGCCCCGTGTTTGCGTGTGTTCATGGGTGTGTGTTGGGGGGGGGTGGTTCTGGAGGACTTCCTGGAGGAGAGGGCCTTTGAATGGGTGTGAATGAGCTAGTCCGAGCAGAGGAGTGGACCTGGAACCCCCAGCCTGGCAGAGCTCCAGTTTCCAAAAGCCGGGTGCAGAGGAGACTTGCCAGGTGTGCCCGCGTGTTCTGAGAGGTGAGGGGGAGGCAGAGGAGCTGGGTCCTGCAGGGGGAGATGCTGGAGAGATGGGGACAGAAGGAGGGTAGCCCGCATGTCCTCGGGGGTTGGTCCAGGAGATCACATGAGCTGCCTGGAGGGAGTGGCGTGGAGTGGGCTTCTCTTCACCTTCTCAGGGCTGTGCCTTCTGGTCCTGTCTCTCGCTGCCTCCTTTCAGCTGGTTCTCTATCTGAGACCCCGTCTCTCTGCTGGGGGCTGGTGTCCAGGGGGTGTGTTGGCACCAGCTGTTCTAATGCTGGGGGTGGGACTGGAGCCATAAGAGCAGCCTCAACGCCCCCTGCTTCCTCCCGGGGAGGCTGGGGGCCTCGAGGAGGGAGATGGGTCAGTCCTCATCCTCGGCCGCAGAGGGATGCAGAGGTGCTGGGACACACCCGGGAACAGTCTCCTGGCATCTCCCTGGGTTATCATCTCCTTGAAGACAGAGTCCTGATTCTGGAGCCCACACTCCCGGCTCAGAAGGAGCCTGGCGCACGGAAGAGTCCTAAGAGGGATGTCTGCTGGCTCCCCAGGCTTGGGTGGTGGGGGGCCCTGCAGGGGGTGGGGATGGGCTGAGTCTGGCATTGTTCAGTCTGGTTGGAATTTCCCGTTGGCATCTCATGGCAGCTCAGGCTTCCCAGTTATGCGGGTCCTGCACCCCATGGGGACCCCCTCCAGCTCTCTGCTGCGGCTTCAGGCTGTGCCGTGGGGCAGCTGGGCTGTGAGCCTTGCTTTAACTCTTCATTTTCCCCAATGAGGGGGTTAAAATAAAACCAAGTAAAGAGCTAACCAACCACCATCTCATATCTCAGCGTTCCACGTGCGTGAAGGGCATTCTGATGCCCCAGAGTTTGGAAGGACATGGTCTCAGGCTTCCGCCTTTGTGGGTCTCATCCACACAGTCAGATCACACAGACTGGAGATGAAAACGGTGCTTTGCTGAGGTTTCCTCTTAGAGAGGGAAGTAACCCGAGGGAAAAGATTCCAGACCTGCCCGAAGCTCCACTTCTCTCTAAAAAGCGCTTCCTGCCCAGGACGGTCGTTGAGTGACCAGTGAGCACGTGCTGGGCGTGAGTGAGTGGCATTGCTCCCAGGCTTGGGGACCAAAATAGCGGTGATGGCCTTGTCGCTCCAGGTTGCTCTCATGGTATGGTTTAAGGAGGTGGCTCAGACACGGAGGCTGTGCCTGAGGTCTCTTCCATTTTATTCCCTTTGGGAGATGGTTTCAGGGTCTGCTGGTGGGCCAGATGCCATTGGCTGCTGCAGAAACCCTTGATATCGGTGAGGTGTAGCGTCAGGTGGGGTTGACACCTCAGTTCTCTTCTTGCCTCCCGCCCGGCCTACCCGTGTGCCCTGTGACAAGTGGGGCCACAGCCTAGAATTTCGTCCCTCTTTCCCCTCCTGCCGATGGTGCTGAGTCCCTGCCGAGTGTGGTTGGGAGAAGTGATGCTGGCAGGGGGTTCTCCCATCACCTCCAGAAAGCAATAATAACAGTTTGAAAGAAGGGTTTTTGTTTAATGTTGGGTGCTCAGCTCCCCAGAACAACAATCATGGGAAAGTTACCCAAAGTAATTTTGACCCAAGGATGCATACATAACTGATGTCAATGGGACACAAGGAAAGATAGCGTGTCGCACTCAACCTGGTTTCAGTGGAGTAGCCAAGTTGGGGACCTTTGGAATCTGAAGACAAGGTGGACAGGTGGAGAAGATGTTCAGTCCAGAGCTGTTTGTTCCTGTAGTGAAATCAGAAGTGGTGTAGATGCCCAGAGAGGGGGAGTGGGCTGGAGGCGAGCTACGTGCCCTGGCACGGTGGCATAAGCAGGAATTTAAGGGGTGAGGGGGGGTTGGAGGGCTGTCTCCAAGGGGACCCTCCCGTGTAGGGCTGTTACGAGGAAGATGGCTCTGTCTGCTCTGACCTCTGCCGAGTCACCGTCCCGCCTCGCCGTGGGCTCCCTGTGACCCCTCTGATGGGGGAGTGTTTGGGGGGTCACCTCCCACCAAGGAGGGTGTGCTGACCCCGGTCGCTGGGAGTTCCAGCTCTAGGGCGGCTTGGAGCATTCTGGGGGCATTCCAAGTTTCTGGATTGAGGGAAGGACTTCACATTTTATTGTTCTACTGAGAGTAAGCTTCAAAGTGCTCAGGGCTCCCCAGCGGGAATCATCTCCAAATGTTTCTGCAGCTTGGGGCACAAAGTTCTTGCCCTGTCGAGCCAGCTGCGGGGTCTGAGCTTTCCTCGTGCTCACCCCTCTCGGAGTTGAGGGAGGCGTAGGAGCTGCCACTCATGCCCCAGCCGTTCTGCACCCCAGGAGGGGGCCATGGCGCACCCATTCCTCACAGGCAGCGGCGAGCAGATTTCCTTTGTTCCTTTCACGGGTCGCGCAGCCACTGTTTACTGGAGCCCCCTGTGTGCTTGGAACTTTATAAGTTCTACCCGTCTCCTCAGCCACTCTGCAAAGGTGTCGTGAGCCCCCATTTTGCCACCAAGGAAGCTGTGGCTCAGAGAGGTGAAGCGTCCTACCCAGGGAGGGTCACAGAGCAAGCAAGCGCTGAACCTGGGATCTGATCCCAAGCCTTGTTTGGCTCCAAAGCTGACCCTCTTCCTACTCAACCCTGTCGGTGCGAAGGGCCAGCTTTGAGCTGAGGTCCAGGATGAGAAGCAGGCCCAGCTCTGCGTGGGTGGGAGGGCGAGGCAGACACATGTCGATGGAGAGTTTGCTCCAGGCTGGGCTGCTGGCAGGCGGGCTGCAGGAGGCGGGGAGAGACTGGATGGGACGGGGGTGGGGTGGGCCAGGGCTGGAGGGGCTATGAGAGCCCCAAGGGGCAAGGCCGCAGGTGGGAGAGCTAAGTGGGGCCCTCTGGGGTTGGGCTGCGGGGGGACAGCATAGGGCATATCAGCCTCAGCGTCCGGCCACGTGGCTGGTCACAGTCATCCTGCGAGTGAACCACAGGCATCGTATCTGGGACAGCTCAGGTCTTGTGTTTCGTGAACGCCCTCGAGGGGCGTGGGTGTGCCAGCGGCCATCTTTCCTTTTTGTAAGCAGAGTCAAATCTATGACAAGTCTGGGGCAGAAACCGTCACCAGCTTCAGTTCTGATGCCCTAGCAAGTAGCAATGACGATTAAATGAGAGCGCAGAGTGGGTCTCAGAAATGCAGGCTCCTTGCTTCTCCCTGGAGCCGGCTGGCTGCATTTGAAGCCCCCGGGTATCCGTTCCCTCCTCTGGGCTCTGTTCCTGCGGTACCCTCCCCCTGGGTGTTCACTTTCTACTTTCAGGGGAAGCCTTCCTTGGTTGTTCCAGTTTGGGGGGTGCTCCAGGCCACCTCCATTCTACACTGTTTGCCTTTAGTGACCCCCGCAGGAGTGGGGTCGGTTGTGTCCTGGACACCCTGACCACGGGGCTGTCTGCGTCCCCAGCCTCTGGCCCCAGAGCAGGGATCCTGGGTGCTGAGCCGCAGCCCCGACAGAATGGTTTTGGGAAGATCGTGGTTGAGGTCTCAGGCCTTTTCAGGAGGAGCACGCTCCTGGGTCTCCTAGCCCCAGCCCCAGTGGAGTTTTCAGGACGTGCTTGGCGGGTGACTGAAGGCTGCTTCAGCATCAGCCCGGGATGCTGTGAGGCAGCATCCAGATGGTGCAGCCGGGGGGGGGGTGCCCTTGGCCACCTGAGGGAGGCTGCCCATCCCAGGGGCCCTGGGGGCGGTGTGAGTCGCCTGCCTCCTGTTACCCTGTTCTCCTCCCCGCACAGCGGGCGCAGACGTCCCCATGGAGGCTTGCTGTGCAGACGGACACCGCATGGCCACTGAACGCAGGGACTGCTCGCTGCCCTACGCCTCGGAATCCAAGGAATGCAGGTATGTCTGCCAGCGCTTCACCAGAAGAGCGCCCCTCTAGACAAAAGCAGGGGAGGGAGGGAAAGTGGGCGGCAGACCCCCGGGGGAGCCAGGCACCAGGACCAGGCTGTGGCGGGGGGTGCGTGGGCTGCTGACCCCTGCCTCCCTCCCTTCCCTGTGCCCCCGTGGTCCCCGTGCATGTCTCCGCTCACCCTTCCCGTGCCTCCCTGGCATTATCGGGGCATCCTGACATTTCGCCAGGCTGCACGCAAGAAGATCTGGGTTTGCAGCCTTCGCTGCCACAGCTGGGCACTGCGACCAAGTCACCCAGAAAGGGGGTGGTTATTGGGGGCGGGGGAAGTCATGTGATCTCAAAGCACTGAAAGTGCTTTGCCAATAAAAGCATGGGCCGCTTTCAGACCCCAACACACAGATGAACCAGTCCCAGAGCTTAAGTTCCCCTAGGCCGTACCTTATGCAATAGCCAATGTCTGGATCAACTATGTTTATTCCTCTCTCTCTAAATTAACTTAAGCTCCTTCAAAGTTTTGTGAGGACGTAAGCTTAGAATGGGCTTCCCTGATGGCTCAGTGGTACAGAATCTCCCTGCAGTGCAGGAGACCCAGGTTCGATCCCTGGATTGGGAAGATCACCTGGGGAAGGAAATGGCAACCCACTCCAGTATTCTTGCCTGGAGAATCCCCATGAACAGAGGAGCCTGGCGGGCTACGGTCCGTGGGGTGGCAAAGAATCAGACATGACTGAGGTGACTGAGCACCCGACTGCAAGCTTAGAATAAGTGATAAAGATATGTCATGTTGATCATCACTGTCAAAATAATATGAAAATAATAGCAAGTCTTTAGGCAGCACCTACTTTGTGCTGGGCATTTGTGCTGCCCAAAATGTTGTTTAACTCCGTTACTGACCCATTTTACAGATGAGAAGACTGAGCTTTCCCAGAGTGCTCAGCTGGGGGCATTAGGACTTGGACCCAGATCTGCTCCCCTGGGGAGCAGAGATCGGGACGCAAGGGTATGAACACGTTCCAGCACGTGCCATCCGTTCATGCTCTCTGCCCCTGATCTGAGCCAGAGCAGCTTTGACCTGGGGGTTCTGGGTGGAGAGCTGCCACAGACAGAAAGAATGTGCAGGGGCGGCTCGTCCGCCTCATTCTGGAGTCTTGCATTTGTGTTGGCATCGAGCATTGAGAGGCTGCTGCCTGCCAGCAGTGACGGAGGATGTAAAGCTCCATTGAGGAAATTCTTGAAAAGTCAAAAGCATCATAGACCAAACAAAAGAAGGAGAGAACAGGGCACTCGGATTGTCTGGACTGAGTGGGAGACTGTGCCGTGAGGATTTACGGCGCGTCTGATGAGTGAGAGCTGAGACCGTGGCGTGAGGCTTCGCACCAGAAATGTCAGAGGGTGGCTGGCAGTTCGGGGCGAAGCTGGCCGGTGAGTGCCAAACATTCTGTTTACAGACTGGGCCCAGAGAGGCAGACGGGCCCTGGGGACCCATCGGGCTGGCTTTCAGACTGTGTGACCTGAGCCAGCTTGGACCCTCGGTCTCCCCAAACGTTAAAGCAAGACAGTGATAGTGACCGAGGGGAGGGGAGCAGCTGGGACCACCGCCCTAGGCAGAGGAGTGCACCCGTCTGCTCAGGCCACCAGCGCAGACACCTCTGCCCAGGCGGCTTAAACCGCAGACACTTGCTGTCTCACAGTCTGAAGACAGGCGTCTGGGATCCTAGTTCCTCCTGAGGCCTCTCTCCTGGGCCTGGAGATGCCACCTTCTCCCCACATCCTCATGTCTTCTCCTCTCTCTGTGTGTTTCTGTCCTAGTCGTTCTTTTTTAGAAAACATTTTTATCAAAAAAAAAATTTTTTTTTGACTGCAGCTCGCAGGATCTTAGTTCCCCAACCAAGGCTCAAACCCGTGCTCCCTGCAGAGGAAGAACAGAATCTTACCCACTGGGCCGCCAGGGAAGTCCCCACAAGTTCAGTGTTATCATTTTTAATGAAGGGAGAGAAGGGAGAGAGCAGGTCAGAAGTCAAAGCTGGTTTAAGAGGCTCCTCTTACCGGTTAAAGGGCATAGGAAACAAGAACCACCGGCCACCTGATAACTCAATAATTCGAGTGTTGTTTTTCTCCTTTCAAAGTGGCAGTGTACCAGGCCCTCCAGTTTTAAGTTTTCATTCATTTGGCAAATCTTGATTGATCCTTGGTGCTGTTCTAAGCTCAGGGTGAGCAGACGATGTCTCTGGTTCGTAAGAAGGCACGAGGTGTCTTGGGAAAAGAAAGCCTAGGGATAAGAGACCGGGTCTCCTGATCAGAATGGGTTTACAATTTCAGATAGAGATGTCTGGGGGTGCCTTGCTGAGAATGGGTGTCTCATCAGGGTCTGAAGGAGGCGAGCAAGCCAGCCAGGTGACTGCAAGATCACTTGTCCAAGTCGAAGGGCAGTAAGGGGAGAGCAGCTCCGAATCCGCCTGCGGTGCAGGAGATTCGGGTTGGATCCCTGGGTCAGGAAGATCCCCTGGAGGAGGAAATGATAACCCACTCCAGTATTCTTGCCTGGCAAATCCCATGGACAGAGAAGCCTGGCGGGCTACAGTCCATGGGGTGGCAGAGTCGGACTGAACGACTAAACCATTGATTGTCCAGCTGTCCGGACATCCAGCTCTGGCCCAGGCCCACCAGTGCAGAGCTTCATAACTGCTGCCCCGGAAGGACCCCAGTGTGGGAAGCTGTGCTTCCCCTCTAGGACATCCCTCTCTCATCCCTGAAGCTTCTACATGGGCCTGGCACACAGTAGGGCTGCAACCAAATTTTTAAAAAATTGCAGTAAAATATACATAGTACTCAGTAGTGTCTGACTCCTTGTGGCCCCATGGACTGTAACCCTCCAAGCTCCTCTGCCCATGGAGTTTTCCAGGCATGAACATTAGAGTGGGGTGCCATTTCCTACAGATTGCACCGCCGTGACCATGTTTAGGGGTACAGTTTAGTATATTTGCATCACTGTCCCACCATCCCCAGAACTTTTTCATCTTCCTAAACTGAGGCAGAAGCTGCTTGTTACCCTCCCTGCCTCGGCCCATCCCTTCTGTGTTCCATCTTCATGAGTTTGACTCTTTGGGGCCCTCACACAAGTGGAATCACGGTGTTTATCCTTTTGTGTCTGGCTTCTTTCACTTAGCTCTGTGTCCTCAGAGTTGCTCCACGTCGTAACACGTGTCTGGGTTTCCTTCCTGGTCGAGGCTGCGTTCAGCCCCTTCCTTTGTACAGACCACACTTGGCTTGTCTGTTCCTCGGTGGATACTTGGGTTGCTCCCATCTTCTGGTGGTTGTGAATCCTGCTGCCGTGAACCTAGGTGCACCAATGTCTGAGTCAACCGCTTTCTGTTCTTTCGGGTTTATACCCGGAGTTGGGATCGCTGGATCTGACACTCATTCCGTTTGAAATTTTTTGAGGGTTAGGGTTCTAACACTCCACCTGCAGTACACGAAGGTTCCGATTTCTCCACGACGCTCGTTCTTTTCTGTTCAGCCAGTAAACATCTTTGAGTGAACGGATAGTTGGACGCACATCTGTTTGCTCTCCCTAACAATTTAGTAAAATGTCGGTTATTTGCAAATTCACCAAGGGCATGAGTGAATGTGTGGTAACAGAGTATAGGCATGTTTCATTTTCTTGTGCTTCAAAGGTTGGAATTTTTTTTTTTTTAAACAAATTGAAGGTTTGTGGTAATTCCATGTTGTCAGATGATGGCTAGCATTTTTTAGCAATGATGATTTTTGTTAAGGTATGTATTGCTTTCTAGACATAACGCTGTTACACACTTCATGGGCTACAGTACAGTGCAAGCATAACTTTTATATGCTCCAAGAAACTGGAGAATTTATGTGACTCACTTTACCGTGGTGGTCTGGAACTAAACCTGCAGTCTATCTCTGCATGTATCGGCAGACCCAGGCTGGAGCCCATGGACAGTTCTAGAAGTGCATGAGAAGCCGGATGAAGAGCTCCAGCCCCACAGAGTGGAGGCTGGGGCCACAGCCGCCTGGCCAGCCATGTGGGGGGGCCGGCGGGGCCCCACCCTCTCTGGTCCAGCACAGGCCTGGCAGCTCTTCCTGCCCTTGTTGGCAGCCCCAGAGCCGGGAGTGTCCGGGGTCTGGGGGGAGCCACGCCTGTGACCACACACCTCTTACTCCCTGCCCTCACTACCCTCCCTGCCTGGAGCTGTCTCTGAGGGACCACCTCTGGCAGGTCCACCTCGAGGACCTTCTTCCTGGAGACCCTAGCAGGGCTAGGAGATGAGGGTATGGCGGCCCTGGCTCACTGTTGCTACCATCCATCACTCTTGGCCATGGGCAGCCTCCTCCACCTCGCTGGAACTATTTCGTCTGATTCCAGAACCTGGGGAGATGTGTATTGATAAAGGATGAGAGAGTACAGACCCGAGCCAGCCCTCATCTGTTCTTTTTTTTTAATTTGTTTTTTAAAAAAATAACTCATTTGGCTGTGCCGGGTCTTGTTGCAGCGTGTGGGATCTTTAGTTGCAGTACGTGGGGTCTAGTTCCCTGACCGGGTATTGAACCCTTGTCTCCTGCATTGGGAGCGCAGTCTTAGCCACGGGACTACCAGGGAAATCCCAGCCATAATCTGGTTTGTGTTATAAATAGCTGGGAATTTTCTGTGGATGAGGCTCAGCGCTCGAGAGATGAAGTTGGTCTCTCGAACCCACTCCCAGACACCACCCTGCATTCAGTCTTTTCTGATTAAACACTGTTGAGCACCTTCCGAATGCGGGTGTTGCGTGTGTATCTCGGTGTGTGTCTGTGGATGAGCGGCAGGGGTGGGGAAGGGGAAGCCCTGTCCGATGTGACAGGGCTGCCATCCGCGAGCGGCCACTGCTCCCGGGCCCTGGCACACCCCACGCCCTCTGCCCACAGGATGGTTCAGGAGCAATGTTGCCACAACCAGCTGGAGGAACTGCACTGCGCCACGGGCATCAACCTGGCCAACGAGCAGGACGGCTGCACCCCGCCGCGCGGCAGCAACGCCAGCCTCGAGGCCATGTTCGTGAAGGTGAGGAGCGGAGGCCTGGGGCGCTCTCCTCCCTGCTCCCCCAACTCAGGCAGCCTTTCCCTCTGAGCAGCAGGGTGTGCAGAGCCCCGGGGGCAGGAAGGACCACTCAAATCTCCCCAACAGCTTCAGTGTATCCAGTAGACTCTGGGCAACACCCCAGAGTTGCAGCACACGGGGTCTGGTTCCCTGACCAGAGATTGAACCCGGGTCCCCTGCATTGGGTGCGCAGACTTAGTGCTGCACTCCAGGCCCCGTCCAGCACTGGGGAAACGGGGATGAAGTGACCCAGCCCTGCCCTGAAGACTGCCAGCAGGGGTCCCCAACCTCCAGACCATGGATCGATACCTCCTGTCGGATCAGCCGCAGCATCAGATTAGACGTAAAGGGCACAATAAACATAATGTGCTTGAATCACCCCGAAACCATCCTCCACCCTAGTTTGTGGAAAAACTGTCTTCCATGAAACTGGCCCCCAGTGCTGAAAAGGTTGAGGACCGCTGACTGCCAGTCCCAGGGCTTCAAACAGGGATGCCAAGGTCAGCGCACGGGTCACCTGGGCTTAGGGCCTTCTGAACGCTCAATTCAAGGTAGGCATCCCCACCTCCGCCCCCAGGAGGCCCTCAAACTTCTCTGCTCTCCCCAGCTAGTCAGAGCTCAGAATGGGCCCACACATATGCCTCTGAGAACGCATGACCTCCATAACTGCCCTAGAAAAAAAAACTGAGGTTCAGAGAGGCCCACAGTCCAAGTGACCTCTCAGCAAGGGTCCTTTGAGATCAGCAGTGAGGCAGGGCTGGGAGCGGGGTCATCTGGCCCAGAGGGAGCCCTGTCCAGGAGGTCAGCCATGAACGGATGTCATGCATCCCTGACTCCAGGCCCAGGCCAGGTCCCTGCGGCCTCCGTCCCTGTGGAAGCCTGCATCTTTGCATGGATATGGAGAGGTTCCTGAGAGCGTTGCAAGGTCTGAAAACTGTAAATAAACTAGGCTGTCCCTCCCTTACCACTTACCTAGGGAGAAAAATAGCCCGACCAGGAGGAGCTCAAGTTTGGAAAGTTAATTAACCTGGTCATTTGGGTTTCTGGTGGAGGTGCCAGGTGACGAAACTGAATTCCCTGGAAGAAAGATTTCCTGTTGCCCGTTAGGAACCCATGAAGTAATTTCAAGGAGAGAGAATTGGAATGAGGTCTGGATTCCGGGAGGGGGAGTGGGGCTCCCTTCTGGAGCGCGTCTTTTCACACAGAGTGGGACGTGGAGGGATATTCCCCGTCGAGGAGTTGGAGGTCCGGCACCCCTCTGCCCACTCTCAGCCTTTGTGGGCTTTGCATGGGAGGAGGCTGGGGGGCGGGTAGGGGAGCGGGGGCTGGTCAAGGGGGTTCCTGGGAGCTGGGGCCTGAGATGCTTAGAGCCGGCCTCCCAGAAAGGGGGAGCCTGGGTCCTCCAGTCTGCCTGGGTCCTCCAGTCTGCCTGGGTCCTCAGACTTCAGAGAAAGGCCTGGAACGTTCTAACGGGTGTGGAAACTGATCGCCTTGGCCGATGAGCCGTTTGTGTTTCTGGGAATGATGACTCAGGACGTACAAGGTGGAGGAGGTCACTGGGACTCCTGCTCTTTCTGGAGGATGTGAGACCCTCGGCCTCCATGAAACTCAGGCAAAACCACACCCCTACCCACTCCCACCCGCTCCTGCTCCAGACCTTTGGAACGTTTCTTAGAGTGATGACTGAAATGGAGCTTTTCATGTGCCAGGGGTGAATATTGTTTCTGGGCTTCAGATGTGACTTTGGGGAACACTGGGGTATGCAGGTGACAGCGGCAACTCTGTCCCCCACCTGCTGACCTGTCTTGAGGTTCTCTTCCTGCTGCCGGAACCACCCTGACTGGGGTGAGGAGGAAGAGACAGGTGTATATTCATCGTCCCAGGCCTGGTAGAGAAGTCTCAGAGGGTGCGGAGGGTGTGGACCCTTCGGGAGCCCCCCTTGTGGGAGCCCCAGGGGGCCCTCTCCTAGTCCCCGTCTTCCTGGAGGCCCTGCTGGGACTTGGGGGGGTCAGTCAGGTGCTGTGGAGTGTGTGCTTGGATCAGCCCCTTTAAGGTTCCTTTCAAAACCAGGACCTATGAGGTTCGGGGGGCAGCAAGCCTTGGGCCCAGCTGGCTTTGCTATTTCCGGCCAGCGTTTAGAAGAGGCAGCCGAGTCAGGCACGTGTCTTCCCGTCCGGGGAGAATTCCCGCGGGGTGGAGGTCGAGGGGCCCGTGGGATCCGCTGTGTTGCATGTCTGGCTTCTCCATCAAGAGTCTCTGCCTGTGTCTGCAGAGGTGCTGCCAGTGCTGCCTGCTGGGGCGGGCGGCCCAGGCCCAGGGCCAGAGCTGTGAGCACAGCCTCATGGTCGGCTACCAGTGTGGGCTGGTCTTCCGGGCCTGCTGCGTCAAGGGCCAGGAGACGGCAGACTTCGCCCCGGGGGACGGTGGGGACCTCCAAGAAACAGGTAAGTCCCCCTTTTCTCCCCTCTGGGGCAGGGCAGTCAGTCAAGGTTATTTAGAGAAGCAGAACCAATAAGATGTGGGGAGAGAGACGATTTATTTTAAGACATTGGCTCACACAACTGGGGGGGCTGGCAGGTTTGAAGCCTGCAGGCTGTGTATGCAGGCCAGATGCCCAGGAGAGCACTGATCTTCCAGCTCATGTCTGAAGGCCGTCTGCTTGCAGAGTTCCTTCTTGCTTGGGGAAGCAAGCAAGGCCTTCACTTAAGGCCTTCACCTGATTGGATGGGGCCCACTCACTTGATGGAGGGCAGTCTGCTTTACTCAAAGTCTGCCAATTTAAGGGTCAGTCTCATCTAAAAAATACCATCCCAGCTGTGTCCAGACTAGTGCTGGCTGAAATATCTGAGCACTGTAGCCCCACCAACCTGACCCCTAAAACTGACGATCGCGGATGGTGTGGGCTTGCACGTTGACCATTGCCTTAACTCTGCAGAGACTGGTTCTGGTTGTCAGAGCAGGTTCATGTTTCTCACTGTCCTGGAGTGAAACCGAGGGCTTGGAATCTGGGATCTGACAAATCTGTGTTCATGTCCCTGTCCTGATGTATTTGGGGCAAACTGATGGATCCAGGTCTCAGTTTCCTCATCTGTGAGATGGGGACGCCTGCAGTCCCACTTTCTCAGGTTGCTGGGATGAAACGGCAGAAGGGGTATATGGCGTTTGCCATCACAGTTCGTCTCATCCCTCCAACCGCCTCAGGAAGTGTAGGTGGCTGGCCACGCTCTTGTTTACCCGTGTTTCACAGATGAGGTCCTGGCATTCAAGGTCACATGGCCAACTCACGGCGGAGGCAGAACTCTGGCCTTCCGATGCCTGGCCAGTGCCCTCTCTCCATCTGGAGCTGATGACATGTAGACAAGAGGCTGGGGGCACCACTCATTAATAGCAGGCTGTGAGCATTCAAACGTAGATATTTATTCAGTGTAGGGGTGAGTGACCCCCAAAGCAGCTTCAAGACAGCTCCCAGCTGTATTTCCATCAGTTTAGCTCCCCACCCTCCATTTGTCTGAAGCCACGTCAATCCTGAAGCCTTGGGGCATGGTTCAGTTACACGGTTCAGGAAACTTCTCAGTTGTCTAATCATCTCTTCCACTTATGCAATGGTTTCCTGTGCCATAATGGAAACAGCCCTGGAAAATTTCAGGCGTCTGCTCTGCCCCAAGCTTGCTGCCTGCCCGGGACCTTTGCTTTCTCAGTCTGAGCTCCGTCTGCCCTCTGTTCAACGTGGGGAAGGGGCAGGGAGCAGGTCAGAGGAAGAGCTCACAGACCAGTGGTCCCTAAGCCAGGCCATCCGTTCCTGTGGCTTTGGGGTCCCGGGTCAAGTGACCCGTCTTTCATTCTTTGTTTTGACTTCTCAAGTCCAGGGCTCCGCCGTGCAGCTGACTTCAGATATCTTACTCATAAAGGGAACTGGAACCACGTTCTGGCCCCCTCCTTGACTTTTGAAATCAGAGACGACGTTTTCACTTTAAACAAACTCAGATTCTTCACCCTGGTGGAGACTTTCTCCTGTGTCTCCGGGGAGGACTTTTGTTGATTTATATCCTGGTTCGTTAAATGGTCTCTGAGCTTTTCTGTTGCTCCAGACATCTTATTTCTCCCTTGTCTTTCATCTGCTTCATTTCTTGCTCCAGACTTTCCTCAGTGTCTCTGTGAGGACTTCCCTGTGTTCCCTCCCTGCTCAGACACAGACCTGCCTTCCTGTCTTCCACTGACATTTACTGTGGGCCTACTGTGTGCTACCACAGGGCCACATGGGGGGCCCACAGACCAGTACCGGCCTGAGGTAAAATACGTGCAGAAATGGACAGTAAACCTTTTAGAAACTTCTCTAAGCATCTGATAGAGAGTAACCCATGTCTGGGTTAGGTGCAGGGGACCCAGGTTCTATCTATGGGTCGGGAAGATCCCCTGGAGAAGGAAATGGCAACCCACTCCAGTATTCTTGCCTGGAAAATCCCATGGACAGACAAGTCAGGTGGGCTGCAGACCATGGGGTCGCAGTGTGAGACCCCATGTGAGAGACTAACACTCTCACACACACACATCTGTTTAATCTAAATATAAAATTGGGATTTGTGTCTGTTTTCTTAACCTTCTTTTTCTAATAAGCTGTATTATGAGTTATCAAAGTATTGTTATCTTTGATATTGTTACTGTTATATTGAAGTATAAGTTATCTCAGATGGGGGAAAGAATGTTGTTCTTTTGGGTAGAACTGTGCTGGGGTGTATCTTGGTTATGCCCATTCTACAGATTGGGCAACTGAAGCTGCAAGAAGCTTAGATTCCAGATTCCTCTTCTAGCATTCTTTGCCCAGCATACTAGCTCCCAAGAATGTTATGAAAATCTTGATGACTTCATCGCCCAGATAGTAGTTTCTCGCAAATCCCCCTGGCCTTGTCACCGTGAATCCTCTGGAGCGTGGTTCCGATCACCCTGGCCTGAGCCTGGACGTGGCAGGACTTGGGCTTTGCCAGGATGCGATGCCAAGGGAATGAAGGGTCCCCAAATCAAACATTCTTTTTTCATCTCTCTTGTTTCTAACTTCTAGTATAGTTGATTTACAGTGTTGTGTGAAATTCCGCTGTACAGGAAAGTGATTCTGTTATGCATATATGGACGTTCTTCTTCGTATTCTTTTCCATTATGGCGTATCACAGGGCATGGACTCTAGTTCCCTGGGCTGTACAGTGGGACCCTGTTTGTTCGTTCTGTCTGTAAGAGCTTTCATCTGCTAACCTCAGCCTCCAGTCCATCGCTCACAAGACCCTCTCCTGTGTCCACCCCCGGTCCGCTCTCTGTTTGTGAGACTTTGTTTCATGGACAGCTCATATGTGGCATATTTTAGATTCCCCATATAAGTGATATCATGTGGTATTTGTCTTTCTCTTTCTGACTCACTTCACTTCGTGTGATCGTCTCTTTAGTCGTGAAGTCGTGTCCGACTCTCTTGTGGCTCTGTGTACTGTAGCCCGCCATGCTCCTCTGCCCACAGGATTCTCCAGGCAAGAATACTGAAGTGGGTTGCCATTTCCTTCTCCAGGGGATCTTCCTGACCCAGGGATCCCAGTTCTTTACCATACCCACCAGGGAAGCACTGTGATCATCTCTTGTTCAGTCACTCGGTCGTGTCTGACTTTTTGCAGCCCCACGGACGGCTGCACGCCAGGCTTCCCTGTCCATCACCAACTCCCAGAGTTTGCTCAAACTCATGTCCATTGAGTCGGTGATGCCATCCAACCATCTCATCCTCTGTCGCCCCCTTCTCCTGCCCTTCACCAGCATCAGGGTCTTTTCAGATGAGTCAGCTCTTTGCATCAGGTGGCCAAAGTATTGGAGTTTCAGCTTCAGCACCAGTCCTTCCAATGAATATTCGGGACTGATTTCCTTTAGGGTTAGCTGGTTTGATCTTGCAGTCCAAGGGACTCTCAAGAATCTTCTCCAACACCACAGTTTGAAAGCATTGGGTCTTCAGCACTCAGTCTTCTTTGTACTCCCACTGTCACATCCATACATGACTACTGGAAAAATCATAATTTTGACTCTATGGACCGTTGTTGGCAAAGTGATGTCCCGCCTTTTAATACATTTGTCTAGGTTTTTCATAACTATTTTTCCAAGGAGCAAGCAGTCACCATCTGCACTGATTTTGGAGCCCCTCCAAAAAATGAAATCTGACACTGTTTCCACATTTTCCCCATCTATTTGTCATGAAGTGATGGGACCGGATGCCATGATCTTTGTTTTTTGAGTATTGAGTTTTAAGCCATCTTTTCCACTGTCTTCTTTCACCTTCATCAAGAGACTCTTCAGTTCCTTCCTCTTCTCTTTCTGCCATTAATGATCATCTCTAGTTGCACCCAAATTAACTGTTCTGAGCAAAGGTGCTCCCAGCCTCCCAACCTAGAGATGACTCACACCCTAAAGGTCTTTTGCTTAGTTTCTTCCCAGCTGAAAAGTTCTTTGAATTATTTAGGGGCCCTTCCCATATTTTAATGTGAAAGTGAAAGTATCAGTTGCTCAGTCGCGTCCAACTCTTGTGACACCATGGACTGTAGCTCCCCAGGCTCCTCTGTCCATGGGATTCTCCAGGCAAGGATACTGGAGTGGATTGCCATTTCCTTCTCCAGGATATCTTTCCGACCCAGGAATCAAATCCAGGTCTCCCGCATTGCAGGCAGATTCTTTACCGTCTGAGCTACAAGGGAAGACTTCCTGTGTCTTTTGCATAGTGTCTATAAATTAGTGTTATAAATTATGTGTGTCTTTTAGTGTCTATAAATTATGTTACATTGAAATTTACTGCAGAATTACTAATGTGTGTCTTTTTACTGAGGTCTGTTTTTCCAGTGAGGGTGTATCATGCTCTCACATGTATGTGTTTTAGAAGACATGGGAAGGTAGAAGGAAGAGGAAGTCAACACAGAGATGGACACCGTTTCCGTTGGGTTGCATTTCCTTTTAGTCTTTTTTCTGTCTCTCTTCGCTTCTCCCCTGTAGGCGTAGCTGCACTGAGACCCTGGATTTGTGCTTTCCCACCTAGCCTTGTAATGTGATGGCTGCTGAATTGCGCTGGAGTTGTGGTCACTGTCATTCCATCTTGTGGAGGGTCCTCCTTAGCAGGGGGCTTGGTTTTCAAATTGTCTAGGGATTCCTGGGTGCATCCACCCAAGTTAAAAGGGCTAATGCATTTCCTTTATGTCAGAACTGCCAGTGCAATACCACCCTTTTAAATTCGGACCCTGGTCCCCTACTGCATCCCTCTCTGTTCTGTTGCCTTGTTGAATCTCTTTTAAAAACATTTCTATTTATTTATTTGACTTCAGTGCGTCTTAGTTTCAGCATGCAGGATCTTTTAGTTCTGACATGTGAACTCTTCGTTGCATCTTGTGGGATCTAGTTCCCTGATCAGGGATCAAACTTGGGCCCCCTGCATTGGGAGGGCAGAGTCTAGCCACTGGACCACCTCTCTATTGAATCTTTTTATTAAGGGGCGGGGGGGGCTTGTCTGTGCCAAGTGCTTCACCCTCAGAGCAGGTGTTCAGATACCTTTGTTGAATGAGCCAAGTGAGTGACTATGGATGATTGGCACTAAATTGAGCTTTGCAGGGCAAGTGGATGAAATCCGTGTATTTGCTTCCTGGGGCTGCCCTAATGAGACGTCGCAGACTGGGGGGCTTAAACAACAGAGATATTGTCTCCCAGTCTGGAGGCCAGAAGTCCGAGACCATGGTGTTGACAGGGCTGGGCCTTCTGAGTATCTCCCCCAGCATCCCTTGGCTTGGGGACGACTCTCTCCTCCCTGTTTCTCCACTCCCTTTTCCTCTGCATATCTGCCACTGAGTCCAAATTCCCCTTTTGGTAAAGACACTCATCTTAGGATTAGGGCCCCCTCTCACGACCTCATCTTAACCTGATCAAATGCAGTGACCCTTCGCCAAAATAAGATCACATTCCCAGACACTGGGGGTTAGGGCTTCACATCTTCTGTGGGAGGTGGTGGTTGGTGGGGTGGGACCCACAATTCGACCCGTAACAATAAGCGTTCACCAGGTGCATTGCTTTGTTTGGAGGGTGTGACTGAGTTTATAGTAGGGCTGTGGCTGCATTTGTGGAAATATTCGAGCAGTGTGGACAACATAACCACACTTGGCATTGGGTGGATGGCTAACAGACCCTCACGCCAGTGCTGTTTCTGTTATGATGGATCTTTTAGAGATGTAGCGACATTTTGTTTTGTAAATGTGACTTTGTTTTGCAAAAGGATAAAATGAACACTGAACTGTTTATAAGGAGATGTACAGACAGGCATCAGCTGCCTGGCGTTTACAAGAAGAGAAAACGTCTGGAGTTGCCTGTGTGCTCATGTGGGTGTGGAGCGCCGTGCAGACAGCGTGTGGACAAACGTCTCTCTGCCTCTTTCCCCTTAGCTAAGGTTTCTGAGATCGATGAGGAACAAGAGGACCCCTACCTGAATGACCGCTGCCGAGGTGAGCCCGGGGCCGGCTGGTGGTTAACGAGGCCCGAGGGAGGGCCATGCTAATCTCTGGGAGCTGACCTCAGGCTCTGCTCGGGTTCACTTGGATTCACCCGAGACATGCCCTTTGGCTGGGAGTCAGCTGGAGATCCCGGTCACCTGCACTCCTGGGCTCCTTCCCTTCCTCTCCTCCTCGCTGGGACCCGGTGGGCGAGTGAGGGAGAGGGTGGGCTTGCAACAAAGAGGCTGCATTCTTGTGGCTTGTAGCGAAGAAGCTAGCATTCAACGCCCTTCAGTCACGGCCCACAGACTCCGTTGGTGACTCTGTGGGGGGGTTACTCTGAGCAGGGACCACCAGGGCTGGCGCCCCTTAAGGGATGGGGGTGAGTGTCACTTCATTTTGTGGCCTGGAGCTCCAGCCGCACCATCTGTAATATCCCTTTGTCTCATAAGAGTGATGCTTTCAAATTTAAAGTCAGTGGGGCCTTACAGCATTGTTTTCCTTAAGATAAGACTTTATTTCTCACGATGGAACATTCCTACACGTTTGGACTGGCAGGTCTGCTCCCCGAGGACATTTAGTGACTTGCCTTGTGGTTGGGCTTTAATTAGGGAGCCAGTTTAATCACAAAATAAGGTGGTCTGTTACAATGACAGTTGGCACCGAGGCCTCAGGTGGGGGAAGGGAGAGCAGAGAGCCCCAGAAAGACCCATAATCCTTCCTGGGGAATGTGGGAGGGTCTTCCTAGAGGGGGCGGGGATAGCTGGTTTGCAATGGGCCAGGATGGACTAGCCAGGGGAGTGACGTGGGTGGGGGGACTGCAGCAACTGGAGCAGAGACTTGAAGACCCCTAGCAGCAGGCCCTGGCGGGCGGTGGGTCAGGGGAGGGGCAGGGAGAGGGGAAGAGGCTGGAGAGGCGGGCAGGCCGTGCAGGCCCTGGGCAGCAGTCCAAACTTTATTTCGTGGAATCTTTGTCTGGTGGAGGTTTGTCCCCATGAGATTAGCTCTTTGAGCATCTCGCTAGCTGCCCTGTGGGGAGCGTGGTTGGAGGGGTGGGTACCAGGGACATTCAGAGAGCCAGGTGGGTGGGTGGCCGGAACTGCGGCAGTGGCAGTGGGGTATGGGGCCCCCACACCCTTCCATCTGTCAGATCAGGGCCAGACCTTTGGGGTCTCCCATGGGAAGGCTGCGGTGGGCTCCAGCCTGGGGAGCCTGCCTTTCGGCATCAGTCCCCCTTGAGGGCACTTCCTCTGGCCCCATCCAAACAAAGAGAAATCACCAGGAGGTCCCTGGGTGCGCCAGGCCTCCGCTCACGTTTGCTCTGATTCCAGGCGGCGGGCCCTGCAAACAGCAATGCCGGGACACGGGGGAGGAAGTTGTCTGCTCCTGCTTTGTGGGGTACCAGCTGCTCCCAGACGGCGTCTCCTGTGAAGGTAAATGTTGTCCTGCTCCGAGAGCCTCTGCCTCCGCTTGACACCCAGGCAGGGCCCGCTTTGTACAACTAGGGGCCCTGTTCGTAGGTGAACTATGGCCCAGGACCAGCTTTCCAATATCCTGCAGCCAGGGCTCTCAGCCAGAAGAATGTGAACACTGGGCTGGGAAAAGGGGGTGGGCTTGGGGTCTGACCGGGCTCTGAGTCTAGGATCTGCTGGGTGGCCCTGGGGACATCCCCAGCCTCTTTTGGCCCCTCATCTGTGAGATGGGGGAGATGGAGGGAAGGGACAGTCCTGAATAGGAGGGGGTCTCTAGGGTCACACGACTTCAGTTCGGGGCCTGGAGCTTGCTGAGCAGATGCTCAGAAGGAGCAATAGATCTGAAATAGATCAGCCAGGGAGAGAAACCATTGCTTTCGTTTTGCTCTGGTGGGGAGCACCCAGGGCTCCACTCCGGTACAGAGCGTGACTATCACAGACCCGGGGGACTTGATGGATGCAGAGAACTGACCCTACTCTGCTTCCTGGTCCGTTCCTTCTGATGGAGCATCAGGATCGGTTGTCCTTGCCAATTACTCCTGCATTGCCTGTGTCTCTCCTAGATGTCAATGAGTGCATCAAGGGCAGCCAAAACTGCCGGCTCGGAGAAACCTGCATCAATACAGTGGGCTCTTTCCGCTGCCAGCGTGACAGCAGCTGCGGAACTGGCTATGAGCTCACAGAGGACAACGACTGCAAAGGTACGGCAGGCTCCGAGTCGCAGAACCTCGCCCCGGGAGCAGATGTGATGTGATGAGAAAGTGGCCTGGGGGGTCCAGGGCTCCGCGTGCTGTGTCCCCTGGTGACTGCCTGGGGCACCGGCCGGCCCTGTCACTAGTGAAGATTTAGCTTCTTTACCGTCATGCTGGGTTAATGACAGTGGAGAGTTTGGGTTTCTGAAAAGGCTCAAAGCACGATCATTTAAAAACGAGCCCGGGGCCGTCCCTGCCATCCAATGGTTGGGGCTTTGCCTTCCAGTGCAAGAATGTGTGATGAGTTCGGTCCCTGGTCAGAGAGCTCATATCTCACATGCCTTGTGGCCAAACTGCCAGAACACGTAAAAGGGAGGCAATATTGTAGCTATGTAAGAATAAGGACTTAAAAACAATTTAAAAATAACAACAAGACCCGAGGTGAATTTCAGGTGCTCACATGTGCTTTCTACTCCCATCCACCTCCCCTTTTTTTTTTGCACAACAGCTGCCGTCCATCTGATTCCAGCCTCCCTTGAAGTTCAAAGCATATTCCCTTCCGCTGCGTAAAAAGCATGACATTTTTGGCTGCTGGCTTTTCCCCGCCAAACCATAGATGTTATTTGGCAGATAAGCCTTTGATGAGGATCTGTTAGAACATAGTTTTCTGCTGAGGGTTTCCAACCCTTCAGAACGACAAAACCACTTGTGTAAAAACGTTGGTTGAATTATGAGGGTAACTCAAAAGCAAGTCACACCCTCCTGACGTCTGAGGGCCTTTGGGCGAACTCGGTGCTCCCCACCCCTGCAGACTCACTGGGCGGTTTGGACCGCGAGAATCCACGGGCCCCGCCAGCTGAATATACACTTCTGAACATCTGACAGCCCATGAACTTCAAGGGAAGGGCAGCCAACACGTTCAGTCATGACAGTCACCATTGTTAATATTTGGAATATTGCAAGGACTGAAGAATGAATAAGTTTATAGGGACTGTGTTTATTGCCACTAAGATCATCATCACTTTATAATCTAAAACTAAACATGTGCTTAGCCTGAAATGAAAACCAAACCAAACCAAACCACCTATTGCCAGGAAAATGTCTGGGTTATTTATTATATAACAGAAAATTTGCATCATAAGAGCCTTGGGGGGATAGTCAGAGTTTTAAGTCTTTAGCAACATGAGCACTATTTGGCTAAGGCTCTTGTTGTATGTGACCTCTTTATTGGAATGTTTTGGGTTATAGTCTGAATAATGAGCATTTAAAGAAAAGAAAAAAACTTTCTTGTGATTTTAAAGTGTTGTAAGATGCTTCTGGCAGGACTCTTGCTAACAATTTCCTTTTTTTATGATGTACCAGATATTGACGAGTGTGAGAGTGGTATTCATAACTGCCTCCCCGATTTTATCTGTCAGAATACTCTGGGATCCTTCCGCTGCAGACCCAAGCTACAGTGCAAGAGTGGCTTTATACAAGATGCTCTAGGCAACTGTATTGGTAAGACACTGCTGCCAGGGCTCACGGGGTCCACCAGGCAGGGGAACCGTCCAGCCGTGGGCCCTGTCTCTAGAAGGCGGGGCCTTGCACAGGGTAGACAGAACAGGGTTGGCAAGCTTTTTCTGTAAAAGGCTGGATAATAAATGGTGCGTTGCAGGCCGTGTGGTCTCTGTTGCAACCCCTCTGCTCTGCAGGTTTCAGCTGGAAAGCAGCCACGGTTATGTGAACAAGTGGGCGGGGCTGTGTCCCAATAAAACTTTATTTACAAACACAGGCGATAGGCTGTGTTGGGCCCCAGGGGTCTAATTTAGCAATCTCCGATTCATTCAAGAGAGCTTGAGTTTTGAAATCAGAGACACTTGGTGTTGAACTGAGTGTGTGCGTGCGTGCTAAATCACTTCTGTAGTGTCTGACTCTTTGCGTCCCCGTGGACTGCAGTCTACCAGGCTCCTCTGTCCATGGGATTCTTCAGGCGAGAATACTGGAGTGGGTTGCCATTCTCTTCTCTAGGGGATCTTCCCGACCCAGGGATCGAACCCGCGTCTCTTATGTCTCCTGGATTGGCAGGCAGGTTCCTTACCACTGGCGCCACCTGGGAGCCCCAGGGAAGCCCTCAATTAGTTTTAAACACTCCTGCCCTGGGACCAGCCCAGGAGACAGGAGGTGGGCCTGCTTTCTCCTGCAGTCGCCACCTGGCTGGATCACTGTATGCTCTTGGCATTTGAGTCTAGGTCTGCCAACTGTCCTTTGCCCTCTGCCCCAGCAGAAGATTCTGGGTCCTCCCTTGAGGTCAGACAGATGTCCCCCTGGATGTGAGCTGCAGGTGCCACCAGCCAGAACCCGTGCTACTGGGGCTGCCCTGTCACCCCCCTGGAAAGGCTGGCAGCGCCACGACAAGGGACCGAGACTTTCTATCTTGTGTCTGTCTCAGGCCCTTGCAGATAAATCTGTATCGATCTTTGATTTGGAATGGTGGTTTGGACTGAAAGCCCTGCCCCCTTTTATTGCCATCCCAGGATACTTAAAGACAAACAGCAGCAGCCCCTTAGGATGGGGGTGATTCTATCTGCAGTCTTTGTTCCTGAAACCCCCCCTTTTCACGGGAGGCGTCTGAGCGGTCGGGGCCTCAGCCTGGCTGCCCTGGCCCCTCGCCAGCCCCCTGCCCACCGAGCTGCCGTCACTCAGAGAAGGGGGCTGGGGAGCGGGGGTCTGACCACTCTCCCGGAGCCAGGAGGGGAAGGGACCTGCCCAGACTTGCAGGGGGCTCGCAGGGGGCTCCGTGGAGGAGCGCGTCTGTCAGGGCTGGAAACCCTGACTCATGGCAGAATCAGCCCGAGCTCCACACAGAAGGAGCGTTTGCAAGTCTCGACTTAGCCTCGGCTTCCCACTCCCCACCCCACCCCAGTTTGGGGGTGCCCCTCTGTGTAGGGGGAGGGGCCAGAGCAGGAGCCGGGGGCCCCCACTCCCTGATCTTGGGTCTTTGGAGGTCCTAGAGGGGTCTCTCTTTTCCTGTGCCCACAATCCTTGCAACCAAGTTCAGGAGCTTTTCTTTTTAAAAATTCTTATTGATTTAAAAAGTTTTGTCCCTCTTTATCTGTAAAAAAGCGAGCAAAACCCAAACGTAGAAGGGACGGCTTCTTCCCTGCTCAGCAATGCTTGTGAGTCCTAGACTTTTGTTTTTATTCAAAGTGGGACCAGACAGTTTTGCCACTTGCTTTGTTTTTGACCTACTGATGTGTTTTAATATCATTTCATGTCAGTACCTTTATGTCATCTTTTTATCGTGCCAAACAGACCTTCACAAGAAAGTGAATCGAGGGAAAAGGAGGGGTGTCAGGACGGTTCGGGGCCAGGGCAGTTCCTCTCTGCCACCCGCGATCCTGGGTTCCCTGCTCGCACACTGCCGGGACGCCACCCTCCCTCCCGCAGGACATGCTGACCTGTGGTGGGAAACTCTGACCTCGAGTGTAGCCAGAACCATCTTCCTGGGGCTTCTGGAGCCAGTCCTGGGCCCCGGGAGCCTGTCTGTTCCCCCTTGGCCACACGCCGGGTGGCCCCCTAGCTGCAGGGCTCCGCCCAGGGGACCAGCGTGCAGGATGGGAGTGGGTCTTCGCGGGCAGAGGCCTCCTTCCCAGTCACAAAGCATAGAATGTTCTAGGCCTTTGAGGTCTGGTCATCGAGGGCCTAGCCACTATCATGTCTTCTCCAGGTTTTCTCTTTTCTTCTTTTTTCCTCCGCCGGCCCATCTTCCTTTCTGCTTTGGTGAGGATGAGAGAAGAGGCTGGCACTGGGCTGCCCGCACGGCTGATCCACTCCAGGGGTGCTGGGTTCTGTGGTCATGGGTTAAACGGAGCGAGCGGGGGTCCTTGACAGCTGGGATCATCCGGGCTTTTCCCGTGTGGGGCCCTAAGAGGCTTGTACGAGGCCTTCGCACCCTCCTGAGACCTTGTCTGTTATTTGCTGTTTGTCCCCTCTCCCGGCCACCCATTCATTGGCTCCCTCCCGATGGCCTGGCCCTGCCTTGTGGCGCTCATAGGCTGGAGAGCTCACCTATCTGTGGGGCGCGGGTTTTCTCAAGGGCCACCGGTGTTCCGTGGTACAGGATTTGGGAGCTGTAGATCTGATTGGCGTGCACAAGGCTTGGGGGAAGGTAGCGGTGTCGGTTCTGAACGCTGCATTAGTTCTTGACACATGGCTGAGCTTTTTTCTCTGAAGGCCTAGAGCATAAATACCAACCTCACTGATCCTAGGGGCTGTCACAGCCACATGGGAGCAGCCATAGACGATGCATAAAAGCATGGGCTTGGCTGTGCTCCAAGAGAACCAAATTTACAAAGACAGGAAGTGGGCTGGATGTGGCTGGCGGGCTGTGCCCACCCCAGATTTCAGGGCCCTTGTCGCAGCCGGGAAGCAGGAGACCCTGGTTCTGTATTGAGTGGGCCCCAGCTCTGGCCTGAGTTCGGGGACTTTCCGGTTTCTAAAATGCAGATTTTAATCCCTGTAAGCCTGTCTTGTGGGTTCGATGTGGTGGTCGAGGGCAGGACTGGAGACAAAAGCTTTTGTAAACTGTAAAGTGCTGTGCCGGTGAGACCATCCCGACAAAGGCTGTTGACAGGGCGAGGAGGGAGTCGGGCTGGCTGTTGTCTGGGGAGGATGGGGCTGGGCTGTGAGAAGAGAAGCACAGCTGGTCCTCCACTATCACCCCCTTCTCTTAGCCCCCTAGATGTTTATAGGTGATTTGGAAAACCTTTAGGCCCTTTTAGAAGGCTTCTTCTGGTAGGAATTTCACTCTGCAGTTTTGCACCAGGGCTGAGCATGAGCAGCCGTGTAAACCCAGTTCTGGTTGGTTTACACGTGTTGGGCCTGTGTTCGTCACAGGAGTCTCCCTTCAGAGGGGTGTGCAGTCAGGGAGGGAGCCCACCGGGCCATGAGCTCAGAGCTGCCCCTCGCCGGAGCCTGAGTTCACCCAGACCCCCCCCGGACCCCGGAGTAGGGATGGGGACCTCAGGGGAGCTGTGCCCCAGAGGCTGTGCTTATATGAGAGGCGTGTCCTCCTTGCAGACTGGGGCGATGGCTCCCCAGGCAGGCCCAGAGTGGGGTCGAGTGGCTGCTGGAGGCTGGAGCCGGAGGCTGGGCCGCAGGACAGACCGGCCACGTGGCTGGGAGGCGGGCGGGGCCCGCCAGTTCCTGGAGGCGCCCAAAACACTAGTGCCGACACGGGGGGGGCTGCCACGTCTGTATTCCTCACCCCTGCTCAGTTCAGGGAAGATACTCACTGACCGTGTGGAGTGTGTGAACCCAGGATGTCACCTGAATTGCCAAGTTCACTGTGTGGGACTCACAGGCAGGTGGCTTTGGCTTTCGTGCAGTGGAAGATGGAGGTGTTGAGGGTTTAGGGGCAGGGAGATGGGCCCGGTAAGGGGTGCTTAAGGTGGGCTGTGCTACTGAAATCTGGAAGCCGGTGGGGAGGTTGTGCTATGTGGTCCAGGCCGAGCGCATCATCTTAACTCCATCTGTGGTTTTATAAAGAGGAGGGAGATGGGAGTTTTTTGGCGATCTGGGTGCTGGGTTTGGGAAAGCCCTCCGGGTTTAACCCTGCCGTCTGTCTTTCCCCCCATAGATATCAATGAGTGTTTGAGTATCAGTGCCCCATGCCCCATTGGGCAGACGTGCATCAACACGGAGGGCTCCTACACGTGCCAGAAGAACGTGCCGAACTGTGGCCGTGGCTACCATCTCAACGAGGAGGGAACCCGCTGCGTTGGTTGGTATTAAAAAAGAAAGCCAGTTTGGAATGGACTTTTCTGTCTGCTCCAGCACAACCCTCCCTTCTCTGGAAGGAGAGAGTAGATCCCCAAAGGAAGCTGTGTGTACCTGTTCATCTATCCCATGGCTGGGCTCCAAGCCTAGGTCTTTACTGGCTATTGCCTGGACTGTTGCAGTAGAATGCCAGCCCACCTACTGCCTCCAGCTTTGCCCCTTCAAGTCTGTCCCACTCATTCTGAGCTGAAAGCTCTCTCGCCCTTTCCTACTCAGAGCTCCCTTTGGTGATGGCTCCTCACTGGGGCAGACAGAGGACTGATGCTCCTGTTTGGAATTCGTGCATGTGCGAGGGTACTCAGCCGCTTCAGTCGTGTCCAACTCTTTGTGACCCTATGGACTATATATAGCCTGCCAGGCTCCTGTGTCTATGGGATTCTCCAGGCAAGAATAATGGAGCCGGTTGCCACGCTCTCCTCCAGGGGACTTTCCCCACCCAGGGTTTGAACCCACATCTCCTGATTTGCAGGCGGGTTCTTTACCATCTGAGCCACTCAGGGAAGCCCCGCTTACAATTCAGTCCTCCTGAATTGGCCCCAAGCTCACAAACTTTTTAATCCAGATGGAACAGGTCTTGCTGCTCCCCCAACAAGCCCTGCCCGTCTCTGTCTGTGTGACTTTTGCTCTTACATCGATCCCTCTGCCACCTGCTCCTACCTTCCTGTGGGTTCAGGCAAAGGCATCTTGCGCCCATCCTGCCCAGATCCCTGCCACGCAAAGGAGCCTCCTCCTTCCTCAGCCTCTCCCCAGTCCCGCGGCACTTCCTGCTTTACTTACCGGGGGCCACTGCTGGCTCGCAGTGGCAGGAGTCCCCCGAGGGTAGAGGCTGTGTCGGGTCAGCTGTCTCCCCAGTGCATAGGACGCAATCTGGGAAATCACGTTGAAGAATTAGACGGCGCCCCTTTGTCAGTTACGTTTTAGCAGGCTCCTTCCTTGCCTTCCGTTCTGATCATGCCCCCTCCCACACTAAAGGGTTTTTAATGTGTCTTTCTTTTCTGCAAGATGTGGACGAGTGCTCTCCCCCATCTGAGCCCTGTGGGCCGGGGCACCTGTGTGTGAACTCCCCTGGAAGTTTCCGTTGTGAGTGCAAGGCCGGGTACTACTTCGACGGCATCAGCAGGACGTGTGTGGGTATGTGTGGGTATCCCTGCGGGCGGTGGGGCGGCTGGCCAAGTGACACCAAGGAGAACCAGCCTAGGCTGCACCTGCAGTGACCGTGGTCTACTCCTGACCTCTGACAATCCTGAGTCCAGACAGTGCTGGAGAAGAGACCTGGATCGGGAGACCCCCGTTCTAGTTCCAGTCGTGCAGCTCCTGAGGGGTGCTCCCGGGTGTAAGCCAGGTTCCCCACCTGTAGAACAGGTGCTCTGCTAGCCCCGAGACTCCAGCCCCCTGGACAGATGCCCCAGAGTCTTTGTGATTTCCCAGGGAGTCACCGCTGACCTGCAGGGTGCAGGGCCCAGAGCTGTGTGCTCCCTCTGGGCGGTGAGAACCCGGGATGGCATGGTGACCCGAACTTGGGGAACCAGGACAGATCCTGCTGGTGGACGCCTGCCGCCCCTGAGCCAGGGTGCTCAGGAGAGGCTGGTCCCTGCCCTCCCCTGCTCAGCCCCACGACACCTTTGTTGGGTCCCAGAAGACCCTCCCTTGGGCTCCAGGATGGAGGGCTTGGGTGGTTGGCCACATGCCCAGACATACTGTCCTGGAAGGAGCGCGAGGCTTCCCCAGTGGGCAGAGAGGCCGAGTGTTCCCAGCATCCCTGCTGACTTGCTGTGCGTGTGGGACCGGTCACTGCGCCTTTCCGCGGGAGAGGAGGGCGGAGGAGGTGGGGGACAGAGGTCGCGAGCTGACAGGGAGGACGCTGCCCGAGCCGCCCGCCCACTCCGTTTCAGACATCAACGAGTGTCGGCGGTACCCGGGCCGCTTGTGCGGCCACAAGTGCGAGAACACGCCCGGCTCCTACTACTGCAGCTGCACCATGGGCTTCCGGCTCTCCTCCGACGGCCGCTCCTGTGAAGGTGAGGGCCGGCCGTGGGCGGGGGTCAGGGGCGCTGGGCCTGCATCCGCTCCTCTTCCCCGAGCTGCCTGCCTCCCCCGGCAGGCCCGCTTGGGAACGACTCACTTGCACCCCAACACGTATCAGATGATGTGTCAGCAGGAGCGATGCCTCTCAAAAGTTGCTTGTCAGGGATGACGGCCCTCCCGGTTTCTCCTGGGTCCGGGGAGTGCCGATAACACCTGTGCACACATGAGGATGGACGAGTGAGATGTGGCTTAGAGTGCAGAATCCAAGGGCATCTGACCCACCGCCTTCCTCACGTGACCCTGGAGGGTGGCTGACCTTATCAGCCTCAGTGTCCTCATGGGGGAGATGAGGTTGTTTATTCCAAAGAGCAGGGCTTCCTTGGTGGTTTGGTGGTAAAGAATCTGCCTGCCAATTCAGGAGATGTGGGTTTGATCTCTGGGTCAGGAAGATCCCCTGGAGAAGGGCATGGCAACCCACTCCAGTATTCTTGCCTAGGAAATCCCATGGACAAAGAAGCCTGGTGGGCTACAGTCCATGGGGATGCAAGAGTCAGACATGTCTTAGCCACTAAACAACAACAATGACAGAGGGAAGCAAAAGTTGGATACTTGTTTAAAGTGGTAAGACAGATTTTATTTACACTTCTGCAATAGAGGAAAGCGAGTTTGGCATAAACTGGTCTTAACTCCACCAAGACAAAAGGTGCAGGCTTTCTAAATGCTGGGGCCTGCTAAGGAGTAGCAGTGAAGGATGTTAAAGTTGGTGGTCAGTGCAATTAGGCCAGCTATGTCTGCTCACTGGCTCTGACCCTCCTGCAGAGTGTGGGAGTTGAGGGGGGGGCTTCCTCTTCTTGACTGCATTTCAAAAGCTTGGTTCCCATGTCCTCAGAAGGACACTCCTGGGTTGCAAAAGATACATCTCAAAGGGACAGAGGAAGGGTTTACATCTGCAGGTTTTCTGAAGTAAATGCGTCTAAGGAAAAGGGAGGTCAGGGCCTACAGTTCGGCATGGGCTGGAACACACAGGAAGTTCTTTGGCAGCGTAGAGCTTTCCCAGGCAGGCATTTCAAGGGTCATGGTCTGGGGCTGATGCTGATATTTGGTCAGGTCTCTGGTGGGTGGATTCGACCAAGTCGAACTGGTGCCAAGAATAACACTGCCTCCCTCTGATGGGATGGACTGAGATGAGATGATAAGCCCAGGACCTGGCACATAGTAGGTGCTCAGTGGATGTCATATCTTATACAGGAATTAGGTGAGGAGGTCAGAAGAAATTGAGTTTCTGACCACCCTCAGCAGTCCCTCACAAGCTCCCTTCTTTGCAGCGCAATTCCCAGGGGGTGACCTGTAGAGCCAGCCTCCAGACACGACAGGTCTTATAATTCTGGATTAAGAAGGATGATCACAGATGTGCCAGGATGCACCCCGGCATGTAATTCTCACCCCGAAATGTAATTCTCACCCCGAAGGATGGACAGTATGAGGGGCTCCTGGGTGCTAGGCTTCCCGTGAGATTCTGGGATTCTTCCCCAGGAACCAGACCCAACACACAAACGTAACGACAAGGAACCAGATTCATGCATGGCGGGATGGGGTGTCCCTCGGGCCTGGGTTCAAGTCCCAGCTCTGTCACGTTTATGGTCTTGAGAGTAACTTGGCGTGTCTGGGCCTCAGGGTCCTCATCTGCAAAATGGGGCTAGTGAGACCCACCTAATACCACTTGTAGGGGTCATGAGGATGAAACACAGTGGAGCCTGTCCAGTGTTTCATGGTGCCCCGCGTGAGATGACACGCTTGTGACGTGGAGACTGCTGGCATCATTGTTATTATCGCTTGTGGCTTGTGCTCTCCGTGATGACTCCTAAACGGCCGAATAGTAGATACTCCTACCTGTTAGTGGACGATTTTGCCCCAAACCAGGGCCCGGCCAGCCTTGCGGCGTTATTCCACCACCGAGCAGTCATAAAGCACCCTCTGCTCCAGGTGTGTAGCGAGAACACGGTTCCTGCCTTCAGGGAGTGTCTCTGGGACGTGATGAGACACCACACTGCGCAGAGGTGACCAAGCGTGCAGGGGGTCAGGTGACAGCCAGGCCAGGCATGGGGGCTGCAGGGGTGAGAGGGGGTGAGACAGTGAAGGACATTCTCCCCTGCTCACCCCTCCTGCCCTGCTAAGAATTAGCAGTAAACAAAAGTGAGAAGGGACTTCTGGACCCAAGGTCGGCAAACTTTTCTTCTTCTGAAAGCCACACAGTGAATATTTTAGGCTTTGCCAGCCGTGTCCCATGTGCCTCCTTAACTCTGCCATTGTAGTGCACAGGCAGCCGTGGACTATGGCAAAGGAATGAGTGTGGCTGTGTGTCGATAAAACTTTATTTGCAAACATACAAGTGGTGGGCCGGACAGTTGCTGATCCCTGTTCTAGGCAAAGGGAACAGAAGCAAGAGCCGCAGGGTCGGTGTGGCTTGAAGCCGGCAGTGGCGGGGGTGGGATGCCGGAGGCCCCAGCCTTGAGGAGCTGGAGTGGGAGCCTCTCCCCCTTGGGGAAACCTCGGGCAGGTCCCTGGCCCTGCATGTGGTAGCCTCTGCCTCTGTGTGTGTGTTAACTCGAGGGAGGTCATGGCCCCTCGACCAGGAGCCCAGGGACTCAGTTCTGCGTGGTGGCCTCGGGGCCCCGTCTCTTTCAGACGTGAACGAGTGTAACAGCAGCCCCTGCAGCCAGGAGTGCGCCAACGTCTACGGCTCCTACCAGTGTTACTGCCGGCGAGGCTACCAGCTCAGCGACGTGGACGGGGTCACCTGCGAAGGTGAGCGGGGAGAGGCCGCCTCTCTCCGGTCCCCCACTCCCCGCTCCTCCTGGCTGGCGAGGGTCCTGGGTTTCTTTCCTCTGAGATGTGTTTGGATGGACTTTACCCATTGTTGAGAGTGAGGTTTGTAAAGGAGGAAACCCACTCCCGGATTTTCTTTAGTGACATAAAATGGAACAGTGGTGATGGCCATGGGTGCCGCCCGGACCACGAGCAGGGTGGGGGTGGGGGAGGCGGAGCCGAGGAGGCACATCCCTCACTCGACCCTCGGCCTCTGGCCTTTCAGAAGCCCCTCACGGGGCCTGGGCCACCCTCCTCTGTAACATCCGCATTCATCCCACACTTACCTGGTGGTCAGAAGATGAAACCAAATGATGATTCAAGAGCACTTCATACGTGCCTGGCACAATGTTGGTGCTCAGAGGGCAGCTGTTTGTAAGGTTATTCCTATTTTTATTATATAACGTGTGTCTGTTAGCACGTTTATAATCATGGCATCAGGATGGAGCCGGGAGGGTACCTCTGTCTGTGCCATTCCGAAGCCCTTGGCTCCCCTTTGTTCCCCAGTCTCCCTCTCCTTGCCCCGCAAACTTCACACCAAAGTTGCTGTGTGGCCCTAGGCTAGGCTTTCTCCCTCTCTGGGACTCAGCACGCCCTCCTGGCGGGATGGTCTCGGCGGCCGCCCCAGCCCTGGCACTTTGAGACCCCCTGTGTCCAGCTCACCCTCGGGGCTGACTTCCAGGTCACAGCTCAGCCCACTGGGGGATGTAGCCCAGCCTGGGTGGGGGGGTCCACACGGATGCTGAGGGTGAGCTTTGCCGTCGCAGACATCGATGAGTGCGCCCTGCCCACGGGGGGCCACATCTGCTCCTACCGCTGCATCAACGTCCCCGGGAGCTTCCAGTGCAGCTGCCCCTCGACCGGCTACCGGCTGGCCCCCAACGGCCGCAACTGCCAAGGTGAGTGGGGCGGGGTCCTGGGGTCTCCCGGGCCGTCTCGGGGCCCTGCGGGGCCCGGGGAACCTGAGGCCCAGCAGCCACAGCACAGATGGGGTGCGTTTCGGGAGGACGACTCTGTATCCTGGGTGTGTCCTCGCCCCACGGGCACCCTAGTCTCCCATACTCGGGCACACTTATCCAGAGGGGGTCCGAAGTCCTCCTGTTCTGCCTCGGGCAACCCTGGGGGGGCCGGAAGTGGGGCTGATAGCCTTTAAAAGGAAGACGTCCAGCATCAAGGAGGCAGGACTTCAATACCCAGCAGACCCCACAGCTTAGCATTGCTGTTTAGTCTCTCATTAAGTCACTCGACACACCCAGGCCCTGCCAGGAGTTAAGGGTAAAGCGGGGAGCCGGTGGTGCAGGCCTCTGTCCCAGGTCGCTGGTCTCCCCTTGGCAGGGAGGTGGACCTGGTCAGGGGGATGAACCTGGTCAGGGTGAGTCCCCACCCTGAGGTCTCTGTATCGAAGGACTTTATGGCCGGGGTTCCCACAGGGGCCAGGGATCGGCTAAAGGAAGGGTGAGTGGCCTGCATCCTATACTCGGCTCCCAGTTCTAAGAACACGCCCGGGTCATCGCATCACCGTCTCTTGGGTTACTGAGCGGGGAGCTAAGGAGATATTTGTGAATGAGCAGCCCCAGAACGGGTGTGTGGCCTTAGCCTCGGCAATAGCTGCAGCAGCTGAATCAGAGGTTGGGACTGTCCAGCCCCTGCGGCGAGCCTCCTATGCGGCTGGAGGCCCAGAGGCTCTGGGGGCCGGGGTTCTGCAGATGTCCTTTCTGGTCATGAAGGGGGTTTGCAGACTGTGATCAAAGGCGGCAGGAGCTGCGGCGTTTGCTGGGAGGGACTGCTCGGCTGTCCAGAGCTCCGGATGGAAGTCGCTCTGTTTGCACATTTCTGAAGGAGCAGATGACCTGGCCAGGCGCCCTCACCGCAGCCTGGGTTCCTGCCAGACACAGCGAAAACACATTCCTGAGCCTCTCTCGGGCTTTGAGACTGGGGACTGCTGTTTTTGCTACCAATGGTCAGGATTTGGCACCTCTTCACAGATGCCTCAGGGCTTCCCAGGTGGCGCTAGTGGTAAAGAACCCGTCTGCCAATTCAAGAGACAAAAGAGATGTGGGTTTGATCCCTAGGGTGGGAAGATCCCCTGGAGGAGGACATGGCAACCCACTCCAGTATTCTTGCCTGGAGAATCCCATGTACAGAGGAGCCTAGTGGGCTGCAGTCCATGGGGTCACAAAGAGTCAGACCCAACTGAAATGACTTAGCACGCATACATGCAGCTGATGCCTCTGGTATGGTGATGTCCCCTGGACCCACCATTTGGCTGCTCCGGACAGTTGTGGGGTGGGGACGACTCCCCACGTCCAGGGTGACCTCCTGATGTGCCCCAGGCCTGGTTCTGGTCCAACCCAAATGGTCACTGACTTTGGAAACTGGGCACAACATAGACTCCCCTTCCGCCTGTTTCCTCATCTGTAACGTGGTGCTAGTGGTTTCTGCCTGTTCCCTCCTCAGATGTTAGAAGTGGCATGTGCGGTAAGGCTGATGCACCTTGAGAGCCTTGGAGAGGTGCTGGCTGCCTGGGTTCAAAGCTCAGGTCCCCCACTTATAAAATCTGTGGCCTTAAACCAGTCACTTAAGCCCATGAGCTCCTCCTAAAAGGAGGATAATAACCAGTACTTGCCTCATTTAATTATACTGAGAATCAAGTGTTTCCTGTAAAACACTTCGAGGGCCATCATTTAGACGTTGCTGTTGTTACTATGCTCACTCCAGGGATCATGAATAGTTGGTAAATTAAATTTAAATCTCCTATAAACGAAAGAGCTGGCACGGGGCTGTGCTCAGGAGAGCAGCCCACGGAGGGCAAGCCAATCCCCCAAACCCTGCGCACCCCCATCTGGGCCGGGGATGGCTTGGGGGGCCTCAGCCTTCACCGTGCTGCCTTGGGGTCTCCTGCAGACATTGATGAGTGTGTGACCGGCATCCACAACTGCTCCATCAACGAGACCTGCTTCAACATCCAGGGTGGCTTCCGCTGCCTGGCCTTTGAGTGTCCCGAGAACTACCGCCGCTCCACAGACACGTAAGTCCCTCGGGCCCCGCGGTCGTCTGTCTGTGTCGGCCTTCCTGGGGGCCGGGCTCCCGGCCTGCACGAGGCGGAAGTGGGTGCTCCTGAGCTGTGTCCTCCCACGTGGGTCTTGGGAGACTCAAGGATCCCTGGTTCTCAGGTGTCTAAATGCCAGCGAGACTGGTCTCAGAAAGAGAAGGAAATTGGCCTCAAACGGGCTGACGGTCGGCGGGCCTCCTCGCTGACCCATCTGCACGTGGAGCCAGGCAGAAACCTGGCTTCTGCTTCCTGGGGTGGAGCCTTGGGCAAGGGACAGCTCTCTGGACCTCAGTGTCCACTTCTGTGGGATGCAGGAGGCAGAGCGTGCCAACTCGGATGGAGGTAGCGATGACTCCGGGTGGGTCGCACCTGAAAACCAGATTCTGTCCGGCCCAGCAATGGTGTGGGACCAGCACAGAAGGGTCTGGGTTCTCAGCTTGAAGCTGTGTGTCTATGTGTCATTGTAAGCTCACTGACTCTCAGGCCACGGATGTCTGCTGGGGTGTCCAGAAACCCTGCTCTTTAGGGAGCAGTGACGACCCTCTGGTCTCGCCACACATGACCCCAACCCTTGCTTTGTTGGTTGGGTTTCCTTTCCTGCCCCCAGAGATCGTTTCAGGGAAAGCTCCTCGGTGGGAGCCGATCTCAGGAGCGTGGATGCGGGATCCCTTCCCTCCTGGCCTAGACAGAGCCAGCACCCAGCCAGGCTGCCTGGGAGACTCGGCCTCTTGACCTTGGCCCTGCTCCTCCCGCCAGGGGATCAGGGCCATCCGGGGCAAGGGTCCCAGGCCCCTGCCTGTACTTGTTCTGGCTTAAAGCTAGAGCAGGAGACGCTCATGTTCTTCGCAGCATCGGGGATGCTCAGCCTCTGGCCTCGCCCCCGCCCCACCCTCTCTGTTTCCCCAGCAGGCCTTCTTGCCGGTAGGGAGAAGCCACCCCAGGGCTGGGTTTGCGAGCACTCAGCCTTCCAAGAGCCGGCGCTTATACAACAGGCAGTGCTCGTGCTCCTGAGCCAGGAACAGCGATCATGTCCTTGATCTGAGGCTGAGCTGCTCCTGTCTGTCTGTTCGTGCTCCCTCATTCCCTCCCAGGCCCTTGTCTGTGCGTGGGTTCGAGGATTCTGGAAGATGGGCTGGTTGCTGTCGACCTCAGACTCAGGCTCAGTCACAAAGGCAACCGGGGAGGAGGAGGCTGCCCTGCGCGGTGTCTTCACGCCTCCGACGCTGGGGTGGGCAGGCTGGCATCGCGTGCTGAGACTGTGGCTGCGGTCGGCTCCCCTGCCCAGCCCTCACACATGGGTGCTGTGGAGTCCTTCGCCGCGCCGCAGCTGGGGGCGGTCCTGTACTTGTTTGGGGACTGTCCACTGCGAGCCTACTGTGTGCGGGCACCTGGGCAGACCGTGGGCCCGAAAGGGCCCCGGTGCCCTGCTCTGAGCCCAGGGAGAGCCCATGCAGAAGCAGCCATGGGCAGCGTGCAGGTGTGCTCTCATCAAGGAGGGCTTCCCGAGCGGCAGGGTCGGAGCGGAAGGCAGGGGTACTAAGAGCTGCTGAGAGGGAGGGAGTGGAGGGTGGGATGGGCATGGGCCTCGTTAAAGGACAGCAGAGGAGTTCCAGCCAGGAAATGGGGTCCCCAGCAAGGAACCACGCCTGCTGACTGAGGGGGTGATGCTCCAGGGTGTGGTCTGTCCCCATCACTTGGGTTCATCACCCTGCCCCCTGGGGGATGATAAGGACGGAGCACCGTCATTGTCTGTATTAAGCGCAGGAAGTGGGCGCCATCCACGGTCAAGGTGGGGGTGGGGGGGTTGAGGCTGGGAGCAGCCCCTCCAGGGAAGGCTGTGGACCCATTAAGCAGGTGCTGCTTGCCAGCGCCACCCAGTGGCCGGAGCAGAGGCTGGGAGTTGGGTAGAGCTGGGAAAGGTGTGTCCTCTGCCCTGAGGGTCCGGTCTGTGACCCCTCACTGTTCTCAAGCCTCACGGAGATGCTGTGGCATTCTGGAACGATCTGGCTTTGGTGTCAGCTTCACTTAGGTTTGCCTCCCAAGCTCGGTCCATTCCAGGTCCCCCGCCCTTGCCCTTTACCCGACAGCAGGCCCTGTGAACTTCTTGCTGTAAAGGGGTTGTGGTGTCGCCCTCTGGGTTCCTGTTGGATGACCTGCGATTGTGGGGATACGGCTCGCTCTGGGTTCAGCCTGGGGGGCTGCGGGTAGGTGCCCCCAGGCACATTTTACTGCCAGTATTTATGGATGGAAGGAAGGCAGACAGTGGCCCTGGTGTCTGGTTCAGGACAAAACCTGGGAATCTGCCTGGAGGAGGAAGGAACCAGGCCTGGGACTCCCATCCTGCCCTCCCAGCCTGGCTCTCCTGTTCCTTGGTGCTGCGATCTGGGGTCTTGGTCACATTGGGGCCCGTTTTCCTCTGTAACACATGCTGACAATACCTACTTGTCAGTGCCTTGAGGATTAACTGTGACGCTCCGGGTGCCCGGCCCACGGCCAGCGTCGTGCCTGGAAAACAGAGTGGTGGTGAGGAGGATGGCCACCAGCCACCCTGTTCTCTTCCTCAGAATCCAGACGTTCCTCAGAATCCAGACGTTCCTCAGAGCAACTGCAGCTGTGGCTCCGCGGCTGACTGTGTGCCTGTGGGCTGACTGTGTGACCGTCCGGGTCTAGGGTCGCTCGGTCCTCAGACGGGAAGATGAGACTCGGCTTCTGAAGGGCTGTTGAGGAATCATGGGCCAGCTAGGAGCCCAGCGCTGGGCGCAGGAAGTGGGGGCCGGGCCTGGAATCCTTGGTTGACAGGCCTTGGGGAGTGGGGGTCTTGTCTTAGTTGCCTTGTCATGTATCGGGGGGCTGTTTCTCTGGGAGCACAGGAGCCCCGATAGCTTAGGGCCACTGACACGTTGTGTAGATGTGGGCAGGACACAGGCCAGAGCGCCAGGTGAGGCGAAGCTGAGCCTCTCAGCCCTGCGGACTCCTCAGACTGGAGTTTTCTGTTTCACGGCCCTTTTCTTTTTCTGCAAAAACCCTCTTAAAGAATTTATCTGACCTTCAGAAAGCAATTTTTACAAGTTAAAAGCGCTGTATTAGAAAGGACCCAGGAACTGGCACTTCCATGGTTTACCATTCAGGGAGCTTTGACCAGCAGGATTTGAGTCTGTCTCTCTCTCTCTGTCGCTGGGCCTCAGCCTTCTCTCTCTCTCTCCACAAACAGCCTCCTTCTGGCCAGTTTCCCTGGTGGCCGAAGGGCGGTAACTGGAGCATGACCCAGCAGGCCGGGCCACAAACCACAGCTCTGGGCCCCAAGGACTGACCAGGCTGTGAAGATGCTGACCACACAGTTCCCTCCTCCCCATAGCAGGGATATTCAAAGTGTCCCTGAGCCCGGGATGGGACCGAAAACATCCTCTTGACCCCCTCAGCGGGGCAGACCCCGAGACCCAGGGTCTCAGATGCTGGGGCCAGAGGGAGGCTGGCAGCCTTAGCTGGCACAGCTCCTGGCCCCAGGGTGTGACTCCGGTGAGCGGAGTGGGTGGCAACCTGCCCTGGCTAGTTCCTGGGGCTTGTGTCCAGAACGACAGGAACTGCCGGCGGGGACGGTTGTGAGCTTCAGGCGGCCATACCTCCCGGGAGAAGGCGCTGGCCTTGAGGACCTTTCTTCTCTGGTGTGTGGTGACTTCCAATAGTTGCATATTCGTGGAACTTGGGGTGTCCTGAGTAAAGTCATTGAACTGAAAACTTGGGGCACGTTGTTCTCTCATACGGGTCGAGATGGAAACCGAGGTGGGTGGTCCCCGGGTTCTGGGCCTCTTCTGCTCTGTGATAGATGCGGTGGCGACCGCCCCTCCTCCATCGAGACACACCCGCTGACAAAGACTTCAGTGGCGCCCCCGGTCTGACAGGCAGTTTGCCAAAGGCAGTAGTTACGCTTTCTGAGATGTTTTTAGTAAGTATGGGGTAGAGCAGAGTGGGATCATTGAAGTTGCAACTGACCAGGAAAATCGGGGCTGAATTTACTTGTGCGCATGTATTAATATAAAGCATATAGTGAGTGTCAAGCTGATGCTGGGTACTGGAGACGAAGCCAAAAAGCCATGGGAATGGAGTGGTCTGGAAGGAGCCGGGCCCAGAAATGCCCAGAGGGAGGAAGGTCTTGGGTGCTCTGTGGGGTCGGGGGTGTGGAGACCATCGGGGAGGAAGTAGTGTTCTGCTCTCTGGTGTGTGATGGCTGTGGGGGCGATACCAGAGCTTCACACACACCTCACGTTCCCTGCCTTCCACACATGCCGTGTTAATCATCTGGCAAGTCAAAAGCCTGGTCTTGGAGGTGGGAGACGTGGGAAAATTTAACACACATGATGGAGACTCTAGCACCACCTGCTGGCCAGATCCACCAGGCCCTTCCTGAAGCAGGTGTGTGTGTGTGTGTGTCTGTGTGTGTGTCTGTGTGTCTGTGTGTGTGTCTGTGTGTACACAGCCTTTGAAGTGAGGGCTTCCCAGATGGCTCAGTGATAAAGAATCCAGTTGCCAATGCAGGAAACATAAGAGATATGGGTTCGATCCCTGAGTCAGGAAGATCTCCTAGTGTAGGAAATGGCAACCCGCTCCCATATTCTTGTCTGGGAAATCCCATGGACAGAGGAGCCTGGCGGGCTACAGTCCATGGGGTCACAAAGAGTCAGGCCAACTTTGCCTCTGCCATTCAGTACAGACTGTGGAGTCATGGACAAGTGCTTTGGTGTTCCTCTTAGTAAAACAAGAATCATGTGGGACAACAAGGGGAGCTTGGGGAAGGAGAAACTCTGACTTACCCAGCACGAGGCCAGGCATGTTCCATGGTTTTTCCACAGTCACCTGGCGCACCCCCATTTGGCCTGAATCTAGGTGTCTGTGGGGGTGGGCTGCCCCTCAGCAGTACCCACACCTGCTTTCTTTCCCACTGCTCTCCTCTGCCTGTCGGCTATCTCCCTTACAAAACT